GGGCAGCCCTTTTCGCGTGGCTGGGAGGGAGGAGGGGGAGTTAGGGCGGGGACTTTGGGGAAGGGGTGGAGTTGGGGTGGGGCTGGGGGTGGGAAAGGGGCGGGGCCAGGGCCCGTGGAGTGTCCTCTTTTTTATTTTTTTAAATATAGTAACCCTAACCTAAATAAGTGGATGGGAGTGCTCAACACCTTAAAAAAAATCAGCACACGGAATTAATTGTCTACCTCTAGATTTTAAATGCCCATCTTTGGTCACTCAAGTTTGAAAATTTTAACCTAGTCCTATTGCATGCTGGAGGATTTTGCCTTTCCCGTGAGATGCTGTATCGCTCCCTTGATTGATTTCTATTTAGCTACTATTTGTTTGGCACTGACAATGTGCTCACGGCTCTGCAAACCCAAAGATTAAGACAGCCTCTGCCTTGAAGAGCTTAGAGACTAAAGCCCCGATCTTGCAACCTGCTCTGTGCAGCTGAATCACGGCATCCATGCAGAGCTCCATTGATTTCAGTAGGGGTCCACGCAGCTGCTGCAGTCTGCTAGTGGTAGGGTGACCAGACTGCAAGGGTGAAAAATCAGGACGGGGTGGGGGGAGGGTAATAAGAGCCTATATAAGAAAAAGACCCCAGAATCGGGACTGTCCCTATAAAATCGGGACATCTGGGCACCCTAGCCAGTGGGCAGCTGCTTGCAAGGCCTAAAAAGGACAGACATCATGCACTAGGAAATCAAAAGGAAGAAAGCAATTAGGCCCCGATCCTGTGACTGGGCCCACATGTGCAGAACCCAGTGCAGTGCAGTGGCAGAAGGAAGCGGCCTGCTAGGAGTTTTCCTTCTCTAAACTCCATGGTTATGATTCTGTTTCAAATATAGGAGTAAAGAGAATGTACACACTGGGGTGGAGTTAAATCGTGCTCCAGAGCCAGGAGCAGGCTGGGTAACTAACGCTAATTAATAATTAGCGGGTTAATTATTAAATTGGCAAGATAGCCTCCCACTTCATTTTGCCCAGGGGATGGTTACCGCCTCCTAAACAGGAAGCATCTTCAAGTCACACACTGTGTATGGGATGCTGTGCGGGAGAGATCATTTTTCCATTGCTGTGAGCATGGGATGATTGCAATAGGCACAAGTGGAGAAAATGCAAGTGTGTCAGGCAGGTCAACTGGCTTCAACCTAGTGCCAATTATCGCTTCATGGCATGCCACATCACCAGCTATTTTGTTTATGCCCCACGTTTTAGAGGGATAAGGCGGTACCAGGGAGAGGAGAATTGCTGGATCCATTGTGGACAGAGCTTTGCAGGCCTAAATGGCCTTGAACAGCTACTAGGGTGAACGGTGCTATCGAAATAGGATAAATAGCGTGGATGCCTGCTTGAGATGAAACAGCCCTGAATGTTGTGCCCATTAATATTGTGCCCACAAAAAAAAATTCTTTGGCAATGCAGCCGAATGGCTCATATGGACAAGCCATCCCTAAAAATACATCTACACCTTTATGGGAAGTAACTGATGTGGAAGTTAAATATCACCCCTTACATCCACCGGGACCGCTAGCAATGGGTTTGATCAAGAATGACCTCAGCCATAGAGCTGGAGAACCGTTAGCTTTGAGTTCTATGGATGGACAGTGCTACGCAAGAGCGAGGTGTTGTTATGATGGATAGAGAACTATGCAGGCTGAGAGATGAGATGATCACCTTTGCACCACCAGTGGAGCTGGCAGCAGTGTCAGCGCTTGCCAGCCGGGGGAAGCATTCCTGTAAAATAACCAGCGGCTTTACCAACATAGGTTCTGCAGCTCCAGTTCTGGAGACTTATGCCTGACTGTTATAGGTCAGAGATGCAATAATAAATGACGGTGCCATGCAGTGATTTTATTGGTCCCCACTTTGGGATTATTGCATTCCTCACCAGGAGGCCAAGACTCTAATTATTAAAATCATTTTATTG